TATAGGAATGATTTTTGTTTCATTCTCTTGTCTGATCACATTGTCTAGGATTTCCAGTGCTATATTGAATAGAGGGGGTTTTTTATTTGTTTTTAAAAATAAAAGGATTATGATATTTAACTTTATTTACTATTATTATTATTTAATTTGACCAAAGAGAGAGAGACAGAAGGAACTTGAGAAACAAACTGCTAGGTCCAGGACTCAAACTTTGGTCAGCCATGTGGGACTTCAGTGTCTCTAGCTACTGCATCACTTGCTGGCCCAGACAGAAGTATTCTTAAAAAAAAGTTTAACCCAAATCCAAACATATATAAGAGGATTAAAATATATAAATAAAATATATCTCAGGATGGTAAGGTTGATTTCACATTTAAAAAACCAATATAGGGACTAGCAGATGGCATAACATTATGTTGCTGGACTCCCATGTAGGTAAACAAGGTTTGAGTTCTGGATTCAGAGGCTTTTAAGTCACAACCGATGCATATGGGTGCATGCCCAAAATCCTAACAGGAGACTAGGAGAAAGGACAGTGGCATGGCCATTCCCCTGGGGGAGTGATTTCACTCTTTCTGACTCTCTGCCTCTGTTTCTCTGGTGAGCCACAAGCACCCTATAGCAAAATTGTCTCTTAAACAAACAAACAAACAAACAAACAAACAAAAAAAAACTTGGGTGGGCCAGCTGGTGGCATGGGGTTAAAGGCATTGGATTCCCACATGGTCAATCATGGTTCGAGTCCTGGACGTGGCAGCTTGCTTTCTCCTTTTCTCTCTCTCTTCCTGATCAAATTAAAGAATAATTCTAACAAATGGAATTAAATAAATAAATAATTATAAAAAATTATGGGACCAGAAGATGGTGTAAAGGTTACATCACTGGACTCCCACCTAGTAAACCGTAGTTTAAGTCCTGGACCTGGCAACTTAAAACTCACACCAGGTGCATATGTATGTGTGTCCAAGATACCAAGAGAAGAATGGAGGAGAAAGGATTGTGGCATGGCCATCTTCCCTTAGGAGTGATTTCTCATTTTCTCTCTCTCTCTCTCCGGTTAGCATACACATCCTATAGCAAAAATCTCTCTCAGAAAAAAAAATTAAAACATCAATATAATTTAACAAAACTAAATAAAAACATATAATCATCTCAATATATGCAGAAAAATCTTTTGGCAAAATCCAACATACAATCCTGACTAAAACTGTCAGCACAGTAGAAGTGAAGTTTTTCTGTCTGACCAAAAGAATCTGTAAAACACCTAGAGCCAACTTCATATTTAACTGAGAAAGAACGGATGCCTCTGCCTGCCTCATTGTCTTTGGCTAAATACACACCAGAACTCAGTCATGGAGGCCTCACCATAATGGCTTTATCACAACCAAAGGTCCAACCTTGGAACATCATGAAGGGACTAAATTTTCACTTAACTCCTTTATAATACAACCAAATTTCAAAATATAAATCTCTGAGGGAAAACCATGATTCAAATCACGTTAGGTAATTCAGAAAATGTAAATTCTCATTTGGTAAGAGCAATAGTACTGTATGTATGTGGATTAGTGTTTTTGTTTGCTTGTTTGTTTTTTGAGAGAGATATTTTTCCTATAGGACACATGTACTCACTGGAGAGACAGAGACAGAGAGACAGAAAGCAAGAAATCACCCCCCCGGGGGGGATGGTCACATTGCAATCCCTTCTCCATTTTCCTCTCAGGATTTTGGGCATGCATACATCACGTGCCCAGTGTGAGTTTTAAGTCACCAAGTCTGGGACTCTTAACCCAAGGTGGACTATGTGGAAGTCCAGCAATATAACCATTATGCCATCTGCTGGTTGCAGTGTTTCTGAACCTTTACTCTACTAAAGATAAAAGGAAAATGTTGACTATCTCTTCCCCATGCCCATATGTCATAAGAATTTAAAACTAATGCAAGTGAAATTCTTTGAATTCCCAGCAGTAGCAATCCATAATGATACAACTGCACACAATTTTAGTTTTTACGTTATTCTGTAGACATCTACTTTTGTCCCATCTAAAAGGGCAAGGAGTACTTTTGCAAAAATGGTGGACTAACACGCTCATTCATTACCTTTAGCAGGATAACCTGGAGTGAGTGGGTCACCAGCACCGTTCAAATTCAACACATTTCCTCTTTGGGCTGCAGTTCCGGGAAGGTTCCATCCTCTGGGATATGGCTGTACCTCAGGGGCCGAGTAGTCAGCAGGATCTGAGTATAAGATGATTCCTATGGCTCCGGCTGACATGGCATTTTTAACCTGAGGGGGCAACATACAATCCATAATGCAAATGCAAATTACTGACTGATTCACTTAAGAAAAAATCAATTTAATCATGTAAGAAAATTCTGACACTGTCTTTTCCCATATCACTACACATTTTTTCTTTCCTTTGACTACCATAAATACGCTGGAAATATTTGTGGAACTAAACTAACTTAAAATTTTATACAGACACACTAGTGTGTAAACAACTGCCAAAATATTGTTTTTAAATGGTCCCAGACTAGGCCAGATCCAGGTGGTATGGGTACTGGGCCCTATACCCTTAACCACTGTATTGTACAACCCTCAGTGTGCTAAAGTGGGAGAATTCCCTTGATTTATGGCTGAGTGAAAAAATAAAGTTACACAAAATACAATATATGATGCCACCTTTGTAAAAAAAAAAATGACACACATGGGGAATAGTTTATGGAAAAATGGAATTAAAAGATAATATGGCTTTTCCTGAAACATTTTGAAGCTTCCTCATATAAGCATAAATAGAATACATATATATTCATGTATATATTTCACAGAATGTGATATGGAAAGAGCTACTAACATTTAGTATAACTGGACAATGAAGCTGGATAATTCAGGGAGCTTTTCACTTTTTAGTTCATATAAATTTCCTTCAGTTAAATTTTTAAAAGCAAATAATATTTTTGTAATAAACTTTTTTCAAAATGTTGCATTTTTTTTTTTGAGAGGTTTTTGGTATAGGGTGCGTGCACTTGCCAGACAGACAGAGACAGAAAGCGAGAAATCACCCCCAAGAGGGGATGGCTACGCAGCAATCCCTTCACCTCTGTACTCCTCTGGGGATCTTGGGCACTCATGCACACGCACCCGGCGTGAGTTTTAAGCCACCAGGTCCGGGATTCGAACCGTGGTCAACTACGTGGGAGTCCAGCAACATAGCCATTACACTAACTGCTGGTCTCCAAAATGTTGCGTTCTTTTTTGTAATAATTATTTTATTTAGCTTTATTTATGTATTATATTTCAATATAACCAGAGAGGGACAGAACGAGAGAGAGAGAGAGATAAAGTGAGAAAGGAAGTCGCCAGGTCTGGGACTTGAATCGCAGTCAGCCATATGGGAGTCCAGCACTCCTAACTATTATTTTAAATTATTCTTTTATAACTATGGGAGGTCCCATTAAAATAGGATTTTCTGTACCTCCACAACAAATAGAGAAAAAAAGTTTAAAATAATTTTAGAAACTGTGAAGCAAGCTGAATTTTATCATTTATATTTATAGGATATATCTTCTTTCCTTATCACTAGAAAAACTAACACCATACTTTATTTCCTCTGAAGATTTTCCCGTATCTTGCAATAACAATCTTTCCGGTACAGTTGATGCTCATCTCTCTTTCTAGTTTAAAAAAGTCTTCAGTACGAGCATAGTTCACATAAACAAGATCTCCCTACAGGAAAAAGAAAAGAATATATATATATATATTACTGCTGATATTAAAAAGAAAACCCAGAAGTTACACAATACTGTGGCAGCAAAAGTTTTCTTCCCTTATTTGAGATTAATAAGCAGATCCATGATAATTCTGTAGAAATCTAGAGAATGTTTCAAAATCTCAGAAAGTTAAAAAAAAAAAGCAATACATACAATACATGAAACACTTTTTTTTTTTTTTTAAGAGAGAGATTTTTGCTGTAATGGATGTGCACTCTCTGGAGAGACAGAGAGAAACAGAGAGAGAGAAAGTGAGAAATTATCTCCCAGGGAGGATGGCCATGGTGCAATTCCTTCTCCTCCATTCTCCTCTCAGGATTTTTGGGCACACACACACACACACACACACACACACACACACACGGCATGAGTTCCAAGCTTCTGGGTTCAGGATGCGAACTGTGGCCAGCCCCATGGGAGTCCAGTGCCTTAATCATTACAACACTTGCTGGCACCATGACGTACATATTTTTAAGTATATTTCTTCCATTAACAAGGGACACAGAGGCAGAAAGAAACAGAGAGCCAGAGACAGTATTCCCAACAATGTCCTCATGCCATGACTCATCCTCAGTCACAGTCAGTCAGGGTCACAAGGGTATGCCCAACATACCCAGGGAGGCCTTGAGAAGTGAATTCCAGACCTTGCCAAATGGGTCAGCTCCACAGAGCACTGTATTACCACTGTGCCACCATGTATGTGCCTGACCACAAGATATATTTTAAAAAGGGTGATCTGTTTTGAAGAAATTATCAATGTATGCTGAGCCAAAGGAGATAGAATAAATGTCATTAAAAATCCCAGGTATGTTCAGTTTCCAGCCACGACTTAATATAAGAACTTCTGTGGCATGATCTATAAAATCAGATCAATAAATCTATTAAAAATTCAGATTATGAACAATGGGAAGAAACTCGTGAAAGGCTCTATTGTCCTTGTTGAATTAAAGGCATATTCAGCAGCTTCTTTGTTATTTTAGCTGCCTGATTAGGGTCTAACTGTAATATATGTATTTTCTCTCTTTTTTTTCTTATGTTTTTGTTGGTTATTTTTGATTGTTTTTAATTTGAGGTATGGGTGCTAATTAGACTGAATATCAAACAATGGATTAGCATGTATGATTCAACTAATCTCCGTGGTGTTAGGCCTCTACCCACGTTCTATATAACAAAGACAGGTTTAAAGATTTAAAAAAAAATGTCCTTTATTTTACCTCTGGCATGCCTTGGGCTGCGAATGCATTATAGGGTGGTACAATATTTGTTACATTTTCATATCCATCTGGTGGTGGTTCATGATAGGATGTTTTGAAGATCTAGCAAAAATTAGAAGACATCAAGTTGGAATTATTTTAGACAGTCACTGAGTTCAGAAATCGAACTGCGGAGTCAATCATGTGGGATCCAGCACCTTAACCACCATCTGCTGGTCCTAGATTTTTACATTTTTAACTATGTGTTTTGAAATCCCTTTGTGGGATGCTTTTCTTCTGTCTTCATTTAAACATTACTTTACCCAGTCCACTGCCTCCATTGTTCTTTACTCCTTCTCTGTGAGATTTCTCAGACCCTCAGAGTTTTGCCAATATGGCTAAGGTGCTTTAATGCCCAGTTTTTCAGAATTGTATATTTAAGAAGCTAATAACTATTTCAGTGTAGATGACCAGACTGGACAGGTGAAAGTTTTAATTTATCTTCTACCCCTAAACCTGCATGTGGTTCTGCATTTTCTACCTTTATTAGCAGCTGCATTAACTTAGCCACCCACACCAGCCTAGGAGTTACCTTGAACTCCCTCTTTATTCTTCCAGGCAATCACTAACAAAACCCTGCTAATATGCTTCCTAACTGTTTCTCAAATCCATTCCTCTTCCTCATTCTTGCCAACATCCTAGTTCAGGACTTCACCATCTTCTACCTGGACTATTGCTTTGAGACTGCAACCTTAGCTCCTTGCCTAGTTCAGGTGTAATCTGAAGACTGCCAAATCTATTAACATACTTCTAGTCACACCCTTCCCCTGCTTAGGAACTGTCATTGACTTGCATAGACTGAAGTTGAAGTCTACGCTACTTAAGGAAGCATATGTAAGCCCATCTATGACCTGTTATCAGAACATTTATTTTGGTTTATTTCTTATGATGGCCCACTTTACATTTTACACTCTTGAATACAGAAAATCGTTAAGTTCTCCCAGTAATTCTAAGATAGTATATGCCTCCAAGCCTTTGCCAATATTTTCTCTTCTGTCTAGAACTCTCTTGTCCTGCCTTTTCATGTGGTTGATTTATATTCTTCCATGACTCACATACCAATTCTTTCAGGAAGCCTTCTGTGCCTCCCAGTCTGGACTGAACAACACTTTTCTGTGTAGAAAGTAGCATTTACCATATAGATCTGAAACGACATATTCCAATTGCCTGCCCCACCTCACTTAGGCAAAGGAACCATGTCTTGATCTTCATTTTCACCTCAGGACCTTGAACCATGCATAATACATAGTATTAGATACCCAATAGTTACTTTGGAACTTAGTAACATGTTTTTGAAAATTGTAAGAGACATTGTGCTCTTAACAAATCTTTATTTTTATTGACCCTACATTCCAATCTACATAAAAGGGTGGCTTCTACAACATGAATGTGACCAACAATCTATATCACCTCAATTCCATGTTCATCCACAATTGAAATAGAGTTGGCATTTGTCTCATTAGGGTAAGATAGGAGGACATCATAATGAACCAACTTTGTTGAATCCAGTCCAAACTTTTTCCACTGGGTTTGGATTTCCTTGGCAAGCAGTAAGTTTTGTTCTGTTCCTGCCAGATGAGGAAGTTTTGTAAAAGAACTAAAATGAAAATAAAATACAAGTGGGAGTTAACAACTATATTCAGATAATGGGCCTACAACTATTCTAGAGGTATTACTCATCCTTTTAGGCATTACGTTTTCTGTAACTGGATATATTAAAAACCCAGCAAGAAATAACTGTTTCTAGATATGTCAATTTGCAAATTATCTGTATTTAAAACTGCAGTTTTCATATCATGAGCTGTCAGAAAAAAAAATCGTGGCAAACATAATCAGCAGAGATGCAGATATGAGAAAACAGGGAGTATACTTTAATATCGAACACAAAAGTGGATAAAGCAGCACATAGTGGCAACTACATGCTCTCTATATAGGGCACACTTTAATTATAAAGAAAGCCAACAGATTCAAAGTGAGTGGGTGCAAGAAGATATACCATACGAACATAAGATAGTTTATGTGGCTATATTAACATAAAATAACAGAGGTGTAAAGATTATTACCAAATATAAAGAAGGACATTATATAGAGTCATTCTGTCTTGAAGACATAACAACATTAGTGGATATAGAACTAACACAAGGTATTTACAATAGAAAGAAGAAACACAGAAAGAATTAATAAAAGAAATAAAAATTTCACCTTCCTGGAAAAGATTAAATATCCCTTTTGATCAAGTTTGAATCTCACCTCCCCAATAAGTTTTTTTTAAAAAAATCACCATACTAATCAGCTAAAGAAAATAACATATGAGCATATCAATTGATTCAGAAGAAGCATCTGACAAAATTCAACACCCATTCATGATTAAAAACTTTCAGTGGTCTTGGAATAGAGGGACATTTCCTTAATGTCATAAAGAGCATCTAGAAAATACCCATAAATGACCTTATACTTAATGATGAAACTTTACCATTAACATTAGAAACAAAGAATGGAGAAAAAGATTCCGCATGGCTCCTGTGAACTAGGTATTTCAGGGTACACGAAAAATGAAGATTTTCTACTGATAATTCAGCCTTCAGTAAACAAGCTAGCGGCAAGAGAGGCCAGAACTTCAGAAGAAGATTCCACATGGCTCCTGCAAACTAGGTGGATCTAAGCGCACTATAGCTAAACATCCAAATAGTATTAGGGTTAAAATATTCCTCAATATCTACTGAATCTGCTGCACCAGTGATCACAACAGAATGGCAATGAGATTCTAGATCACCTGCTTGCTCCTGAACGTTCAGACTGAACTTCAAGAATTTGGAAGAAACACACCTTCCATCAGATGACAAGAAATCACCGCCAGATCACAAGGAATATGGGAAAACAAGAAAATACCTCTCTTCTAAGGGTAAAGAGTAACTCTTCTTCATCCACAAGCAGTTCGGTGAAAATCATGGAAATGTCTGATAAGGAATTTAGAGCATTCATAATGTCGAAACTAACAGAGATGGAAGAGAAGAGAGATAATGAACTGCTAAAGAGAAAGGAAAAAGAAGTTGACGAGTTCCAGGAGGTGAGGAAATTCTTGCAAGATCTAAAAGAGGAATTACGCACTTTACAAAAGACTCAAACAGAACTGCTAGAGATGAAGTCTATAATACAGAAAGTAAAAAATCTCCCTTGGAAGTATTAAAAGCAGACTAGATCATACAGAAAATAGAATCTCAGACACAGAAGAGAAAATTGTTGGCCTAGAAAAATCCACCACGAAGACTGAGAAAATGGCACAAAAATTTGAGAATAATATGCGAGAAGTACTAGATACCATCAAACGTCCAAACATCCGGATAATTGGCATTCCAGAAGGTGAATAGACCCATAAGGGTATTGATAATCTATTCCATGAAATCCTGCAAGAAAACTTTCCAAACCTAAAGAGGCATTCAAAGATCCAGTCGCAAGAAATACAAAGGACCTCAAATAGAATCAACCCAAGAAGATCTTCTCCAAGACATTATAGCCAGGTTGACCAAAACCACAGACAAAGACAAGATACTAAGATTGGCAAGAGAAAAACATCAAGTTACCTACAAAGGACATCCCATCAGGCTAACAGCAGATATCTCATCAGAAACAATGCAAGCAAGGAAAGAATGGGAAAATATATTCAAAGTGTTAAGGGAAAAGCAATTTCAGCCAAGAATACTGTACCCAGCAAGATTATCTTTCATGTGGGAAGAAAAGACAAGAACATTCTCAGATAAACAAAACCTGAAATA